AAGTGATGTTTTTAATAGTGTACAGTTGAAATGTAAAAGCGCAAAATCAATTAAAATTTAAGGGGATTTATCTCTGGAAAAATATTGACAAGAAAGCAATCGTGAGGCAACCGCATTTTTATTTTGTTTTGGGGGAATGGGATTATCGGAACATCCTATTTCTGGCAGTTATTAAAAGGTCTTTTCTCTTTTCAATTTGTGTTTTTATATTTTAAATTATTGTTTAACAGAGTCTGTGTATGGGCATTTTCAATATATTTATCTGGTAAGTGTACAGTGAACATGATAGATCAGCTGCATGTAATGGAGGCATACAAATAAACTTTCAAATGTGTACTTCATTACAAAGCAAGATACAGACTATGGTACAACTCCTAGAGACTGACTGAAACCTACCTCACAGTTAATGTATATCAGCTCAGTAAGGATTAGCCTTGAGTCTTAACAGATTAATTATCCCAATTAAGAAGATTATGTGCTTTAACTTAATCCCTTCCAGATTCAACTCAATTAGGTAATTCCATTGAGCTTTGATCAGATTTGTTGTCATGCCCTGAACACCATACATTGTACATGTACACTTGATAAGTTTATGTTGTTGTTTCTGTAACTTTAATTTTGCAACTTAATTTTTGCCTTGGTCTTTTGATTTCCACTAACGGTAATTAAAATGATTTCTTGCATACCTTCAAGAATCATGACAAAACTATGAAGAAAAGAGATTTAAGAAGTCATTCTATTTTCTGAATTAATATATCAAAAGAACAAATACATGTATTAAAGTTATAATAGAAGCCTTAATGTGTAATATACCTTTAGCAGTGATGTAAATATAAATAATATATGTACATGTACATGTATACAGTACATACATTTTTGGCAAAGAAAATACATTACATCACTTACATGAACAAGAACAAAGGCAATACAAGAACATACGGAAATGAAACAAAACAAAACAAAACTAAAACAATTGATTGAACAATAACGTTGGCATGAAGCCTTCTGTCCTAGTATCACTGGCTGTAAACATAAACTACATTGTAATTTGTAAGTGGTATGTTCTTTGTTTTTGCACAAGAACCAGTATAGAAATTACAATTACTGTATGTTACATGCTGTTGTATACATGTACATGTACACTGTACATGTATGTATTGTAAGGTGATTAATTAAGATGTGGACTTGAGATTACTAAATTGTATTTGTTATTTCGTAGAGTTTAGACTTAAAAATAAAGTCTGCTAGTAATAACAATGTTGAGAAGCAAGCCTGTGGAGAAGGACACAGTGTCTAAAGGCATTGTTAAACAATCTTTCCATTATAAATCTGTGTTATCAGCATCTGTGATATGTGTAATATTGAAGCCCTAAAAATGATCATGAAGTTCCTCATAAAAGTAAAATCTTTGAGTGACCGATTTTACCATCCTCATTTTCCCCACAAGACTGTAGTGTTATAAAAAAAACTTTTGGAAAGCAGTTTTTGAAATTTTGAAATCCAATCATAAATATCTTGATAATCAGACAGGCGATCGGCATGTAAAAATCATGGGATTCCTGACTGACCTAAAGGTTTATAATAATGATTGCAGCATGAGCTAAATCCAGCATTTTGTTAAGAATATGAGGCAAAGATACCCAATCCCTTTAATAGCTTGTGCTTCTTGTTGAAAATTGTGGTAGGGTCTGTGATTAAAAGCCATCTTCTCCCCGAGCATTAACAATCAAAATTTCAATCAATTATTCTTCCTTCATAATATGCACCCAGTCGATATCCCTTCAATTACATTGAGGCTATAAATAACTGACAATAACTGACTATGGCACCAAGAAGACAATTATCTTTTGTGGACTTTACATAAATATCGTTAGATATTGATAAGTCCTTGGGGACCATTTTGCTGCCTTTTGTTATGCCACACTTTTCGGATCATTGGAATTTTTAATGTGATGTAATGTGTAAATCAATAAAATGGTTTGATATCTTTTCGTGTGACCAATTGTATGATTAAGCCATCATCTTCCCGTGAATGTTCAAAGTGTAGTCATGCATACATGTAAACAAGAAATTACAGCTCTGCAAACATTTGCAGTATTTCCATTATATCCAGTTCAGATTTTTAATGTTGTACATTTGATAATAATGATACTGGATATTTTTATAACGCTCAAGGTGCTTCAATATTACCCTGGTTCTGCTAGACTACCAATGTCTGTGCTGAGAGCGTTCAAGGATTTCTTTCCTACCAGTAACCATGTACAGTGTAACTTCTACACCATGGAGAGTGGCAAATGTAGAAAATGTATTGCCAAAGGCCACCAGTATTGCAACAGCATACCATCTGATGCTTAGTCAATTTATTATTGTATATCATAGGAAAATCTTCTAGATAAATGTTTGATATGTATACATTTTATTTTGGCTACTGATGTCTAAGGGGCCATGGGAGCAGACCACAACAGTACAACACCTTTACAAACTTTTCTTTCAAAAATATATCCTACTACAAGCTATAGAAAAATAAAATGATCAATATTTGTGTAACTTATTGTATATATACCTGTATATGATCTCTAAAAAAAGTTCCCTCTTTTTGAGTACTCTTAAAAGCCCAGGCCCAAGGAAGATTTGCAGCTTAAATTGTAATTGTATAGACTATAGCAGGGCTTGATGTTAGCAGGTGCCCATGACACCTGCACTGTAAGTCCCGACCCCCAAACTTTAAAAAAAGAATTACACAGGACTCATGCACACATCATAATCTAAAAAGTTAAATCCGAACCCCCTTTCAAAAAATTTGGTATGGATCCCTGACTAGAGAATGAACATTTTTGTCAATCTGTGAAATTTAAATTACATAAATTCACGCAACTCCACAGCAAAGTGTAGTTTGGGCATTCAAGTTGTCTTCAGAATACAGTTTGTCAATTTTAAGTTTTTAACACTGATCCTCTCCTCAGTTTACACTATGAATATGACAGACAAAAGAAAGCGGACAAAATATACAGTTCCTCAGGTAGACAAAGGAACATCCCTTCACTGCTATTATGTAAAAAGGTGAATATGCATGTGACACCTGTTCTACACATTTTCACATAATAGCAGTGAAGGGATGTTCTTTTGTCTACCTGAGGAACTGTATATTTTGTCCGCTTTCTTTGTCAGACATGTTCATAGTGTTACTAGAGTTCACAAAGATACAACAATGAAACTTCACACTTATGAAAGTTTGATACACTAATGATTGTTTTGTCGGGAAGGTCCACCGCCTTCTCATGCTTACGATGTTTTATTAACTTGATGCGCTCATCTCCAAACATGTAGATAAATGGACCCCATGCTGGTGTTTCATTTCACAAACCAGGGCGCCCCGCATCTTTTTCACACTCCACTTATTATCCTACTCACCGATTTCCCACCTTGTCGCCTTATTAAGCTGCTCTAATTCATTATTCATAGACGCAGACAAAGAAGTGGTTAAGACATAGCCTCGAGGCTAGGTCCTCTGGCTCAAGCAGACCCAGTATTTTGCCTTGGATCAGAGACAATGGTGAAAAATCAATAAAGTCTTTTTGCCGCTACCTGTCTATTTGAGTAGGAAGTAGTTATTTTTGTAAAAACTTTATTTACTCAGTCTACCCTAAATAGAGTCTTAGAATGCTTTATTTATTATTTACATGTTAAAAATAGAATGTACAGTATGTGTAAGCAAAGTTTATTGACTGTAGATGAAAATTGTTCAGTTCGTGACATACATTAAACAACTCAATATTATGATCTTTCCACTTTATTTTCTCAAAATTGTGATCTACATTAGTTGCAAATCATGAACCTCTGTATTAAACTTGGGGAATAATTTGTTTTTGGTAATATTATTCATGATTTACATTTTACAACTAGATCATGAATAATATTACCAAAAACAAATTATTCCCCAAGTTCAAGAAAGAGGTTCATGATTTGCATTATCTGATTTTGGCCTCGGGCATCTTGCATATTAAAACATTCTGATTAAAACGCAACTCAAAATATAAATGCTTTTTACTACCGTACAGGTGATAAATATTGGGAGCAAGCAAAGTTGTACTGATCATCATATTTTTATATTTAAGATCTGATAATTTGATTTCCTTCATGTCAATGTTCTCTTTAAAGTTTATTTTGGATTTCCTGATAATTTCATTTCCTGATAATTTTAAAGGATAAGGAAATGTGCTATTTGTTTATTTATTTATTATTTTATTTTCCAAAAATATTATTGATATACACTTATCCAGTACATGTACAGCAATACCGATGATAATTCTGATCATACTTAACACTGCTTCAAAGTTAAGACAGAACAGCCTTTTTAAAGACTTTGAGAGCTCAGATGTTTCATTTAATATTCTTATGTTTTATGCCGTATCAAAGAAGAACTCACCTGCTCGTTTCATAACATCATTATTTGTGAGATTGATTGTTACGTAACACTACCCAATCAGGGTGTGGTGGAATATTTGCCCAAGTAATTACTTTTCAACGGTTACGTGTGAATGAATCGTTCTTGCCAGCGATCTCGGTCTAGATTGACATGCTTAATAAGTAGCACTATCCAAGAGGCCAGACAGGGACGTCATTAATTGAGTAAGGTTGGAGAAGGGACATACCGTAACATGTACAAATTAAGTGATTGTCAGAACTCGAGATGACTTTGTGCGGCATATAGTGCTGTAACCATTTGATGTATCTGTTAGGAGCATGTGTGCGAGGAGTCAAACTCATTCACACCAGGCAGGTGCACATTGTTGAAATAATCTGAATTTTAATTGATGCTCTTTAGTTTATTAAAGTCGAGGAACACACATTGGAGAGAGCAAATGCGTTCCACTACAGTTCATGTACTTGCAGAATTATTGTTTGACTTGATGTATTTTTGTAGGTATCAGTTGTCATCATTGTTGATTAGTTTGAAAACCAAGGGGGATTAATTTGTTCTTTTATTCTTTCTGTTTCAGGTTTCTTCTGAAGTGTGAGTGTTGAGAGAGGTCTCATCATGTCTCGTCCCGCCGGCGAGACGGACCTTTACGAGCCACTGGGGCTGATGGAACCTCCAAGGATGGAGGCGGAAATGGACCGACGCGTCAGCAACACCAGCCTCTCTTCAGAGAGTGCCTACAGCAGCAATGGGAACGGACCTCCCATTCCCACGCACCACAATCGCAAGGATTCCGTCCGCTCGTACAAACTGCGCAGGAAACTAAAGCGCAGGAAACAGATGCAGAGGTTGGTGGGTAAGGACGGAGTGTGCAATGTGGTTCACACGCGAGTGGCGAGGTTACGCTTCATTGAGGACCTGTTCACAACCTTTGTGGATTTAAGATGGAGATGGAACCTGATGGTGTTCACCTTTGCGTATGTCGTCGGATGGTTCTTGTTTGGACTTGTTTGGTTTGTCATCGCCGCAGCGCATGGTGACCTCAACGCCTCACAGCGCAACTTGACAGACTGGGAACCGTGTGTGTACAACATGGAAACGTTCACTGGAGCATTCCTCTTCTCATTGGAAACCCAGACAACAATCGGTTATGGTTTTAGAAGTGTGACTGAAGAGTGCCCACATGCAGTATTACTAGTTGTTATACAGTCCGTCATCAGTTGCCTCATTGATGCCGTGTTTATCGGTTGTATCTTCGCTAAAATTGCTCGTCCAAAGAAACGAGCCGCCACGCTCAAGTTCAGTCGGAAAGCCGCCATTGCCCAAAGAGACGGTAAATTATGCTTCATGTTCAGGGTAGGAGACATTCGAAACAGCCATTTGTTTGAGGCTCACTTGCGAGTTTACATGATCAAACCCAAAGTCACCAAAGAGGGCGAGATTATACCACTGTGTCATCACAACATGGACCTGGGGTATGACACTGGGGAAGACCGTATATTCTTGGTCTGGCCCATCATAGTATCACATACAATAGACGAAGACAGTCCACTCTATGAGTACTCCTGCAACACGATAGACACCGCTGACTTTGAGATTGTGGTTATCCTCGAAGGAATCGTTGAGCAAACAGGGTTGACCACTCAGGCCCGTACCTCCTACATGCCTGGAGAGATACAGTGGGGCTCTCGCTTCTGCAGCTCTGTTCTGTGCCTACGCAGCGAGTTCGACAAGCAGTACGACATTGACTACTCCAAGTTTGAGGAAACATACACTGTGCCAGGCCACCCAAGGAAGAGTGCCAAAGAGCTGGATGAAATTGAGCAGAAGGAAGAGGAAACGACGGAGAGCCAGTTGGCTCAGCTGAAAGACCTCATCACCAATGTTATCGACGAGCAGAAGCTGCAGAGATGGAATCCTAGGATGACGGAAGAAGTCTTTGCCCGTCGCTTCAAGCAGTTCGCACGAGGGGACTGCAACGGCCGAAGCCGGAGCACTGAACATCTCACTCTGAAATGGAAACCTCCAGATGTTGGAAGACTTGTTTCTATTGAGTCTCAGGGTTCCCACGAGGGTTCACAAGAGATGCATCCTCTGCGGTCTTGTGATTCCCAGACCACGGAGGAACTGTCGATGACCAGTCATCCAAGCCCTCTACCAGAAGAAGCCCTCAAAGAGATGCCAGATGAAATCAAGAGGAAAGAGTCAAATGTATAGCAGTACTACTCACAAAATGGTAAGATCCCTGTACAATATTGCAGTGCAGAATATGTGTGTTCATAGAGATATATTTGTATATATAAACAAGTGTCAATAAACATTGTACAAGTTGCTTTCATGATGAGTATGATGTAATTTTTGACTGTGCAAGAAAAAGGTATTCAATCAATGTATTAAAGAGAGCAATGAAGTGATTTCTGGTGTATTTGGGCTACCGTCAAGTCTATCGATCACAAAGCTTAGAACAGTTAACAAATAATCTAGCTTCTGTTGAAAGATTTATGCAAGTGCAAAGTTTTAAACCTAGTTTTCTAGTCCTAAATGTGTAATAATTTTTGAAAAAAATGCTGTGTGATGTTGTATCTTCAGTTTGCTTAAACTGTCTTCCATGGGGAAAGAGACTTTTACCCAAGTTACCCGATGTTCAAGTAGCTTGTTTTGAGGCAGCCATTTAAGAATCACATCAGACCGATAAGAAGGGATAATATCTCATTCTCGTAAACCTGTCTCACATTTCCATATGATTTGTGTCCGCCATCCGAAAATACTCTTTATATCTGTGTCATGTGATCATGCCGTAAAAGTGAGCATAAACTAGAGGCAGTCTCGTTTATGGTACGCTATTTATGTCGTAATGAGGCTGCATGGCGAGCAAGCCATATCAAGAGAGATAGTTGCGGTAATTAGGAGTGACAGCTTTGGATCGCGATAGGGTGCTGGGAGGCTTAGGGCAAGGTGTGGACCAATGGCCATTGCCAATTTAAGGTTGAGGGATGACTTGTATTCTGCTTCCAGGTTTACGAAGCTGTTCTCATTCTAAACACCATTCCATCATTTAAAGTGATTGGCTTGTCCCAGTTAGTCTGGTTTATTGTATTTGGTGTACAGCCATGTATATGTAGGAATAGGATTGACCCAGATAAACAGATAGTATAGTCTAGTTCTGCTGACTCCTTTTTTGCCCCCTCCCCCCTTCCCCCTCCCCTTCTCCTTCCCCCTCCCCCTTCTCCTTCCCCCTCCCCCTCCCCCTTCCCCCTCTTTCCTTCTCCTCTATCTTTGGTTAACATTGATTTCATTATTCCATAAAAGCTAGGAAACAGTTGATTATTTTTTAAACCTTGAACATTTAATTGAATGTGAGTACTTCAATGTGAGAACATCAGAAAAATAGAGGGCCATTATTTACAGTGTTTTTGCAGTTTCTAACTCTTTGGAGTATGGCCTGTTAATTTTCCCTACATCATTTCTGTACATACATGTGTATGTACATGTACATGTACAATGTACCTTGCCATAAGAATACATTGAAGTTTGCTACATAAAACAATGAAAGTATTAAACTTAACAGTGTGATGAAGTCATCAGATGCACAGAAGTTTCATGGACAGACTACATGTATTTGTATAAATAGGACTAATGATTTTTTTTCTTGATAAGGGAACAAACATTAACTTTACAGTCCAAGCAATTATTTCTCAATCAATTCTTCAGATCATTGCCAGTGTTCTGAACATAAAGGTACTACAGTACATGTAATAATCTTTTCATGCATGCAACAAAACTAAACTGAAACATGAGAATTTCAATAATGTAAAAACATGATCTGCTGTACTTGACAAATTATTTTCTGTAAATCACCACTACTTTATACATGTACAGTACATGGGGACAGTACTTTATAGCAATAATACTGCACTGTTAATAGTCTTGCTTCTACCTGTACATGTCGGTTATGTGAGATGGACAAAATATGGTTTGAATTCAAATCAACTAAATGTTCTCCAATTGGTGCCTTGTGTAATCTGTATTGTGTATCATTCACCCTGTGTTTCTTTCTTTATTTTCTAAAAATTGTTGGTATTCATACTTACAGAAAATGTTGCTTTTTTGGTTATAAATACTTCATCAGTTTTGTTTCATCAGGGTAATCTATTTAAATGCATGCCAATCAATTAGCTAACATATGTGGAGTGTGTGAAATCTGCACAGGAGCTGATACATGTGTTGGTCATTTGTATCAAAGTTTGAAATCCAAAATTCTTGATTAATTCTCATAATCGTTATTTATGCAGAACGCACCAACAGTGCAGTGCATACATCACAGATTGATAAATGTACATCTATGTGTATGTGTATACTTTAAAACAATTTTTTTTTTAATAGAAAGCAAAAGCTATTCATGAAGCACCTCCATTACTTTGGGAGTGATTATTTTTTGTAAAAGGTTCAGAATGAGATTTTTCCATCTTGATTGCTATCGCTTCTTTGGGTCATTACTTGCTTGTGTATTTAGCCCTTAATGAATAATCTTAAATGTGAAAACTCATTTAACTGACATAACCATATTTTTGTGTAGATTATCATAATCTAGAAGATAATGATATATTATCAGAGAAATTTTTTAAAATATGTTTGAAGTTTTTAAATTATGACTACTTGTTAGCCTGTTACACATGTATGCATTATAATAACACCCTACTCTAATAAATCTTTATTTTAATAGTTCAGATGTTATTGATTAACATTTCCATGAATTCAAAAGTTGTGTAATCCATGTAGACAACATGTATGTCTTGAGCATCAGTGTTAACTGCTGTAAACAAGAACCAGCCCCCCCCCCCAAAAAAAAGGCTGACTCAATATTTTTTTTCCTGTACGCATAACCAAACGAACAGCATTTGTTTTGATTACAGATTAACATTATTGATTGAATTCATCATTAAATCTATTGAAATTGAATTAATTCATTTGTGTTTTTCCATCAGTCTTTTGTCATTGTTTTTAAAGACACTCTATGAAGTTTTAAAGCAGTTTTCATTCATGCATGTTTGTTATTAAATTCTGTTTTGTTACATTCTTATTTTTGCATGCTTTGTTTGACAAAAAAATGTTTTCTGTAGGTAGTGTCAATGTTTTCAGACAACTTTGAAGAGTTGGATTTTGAAATCTTGAAAGTTGATGGCTTGATGCTCCAATTATTAAACATGAATTGATTAAATACACATACCCTGTAGTCCCTGTAGCTCATGTACATGTACTTGGTCAATCCAAAAACAAAACAAAAATGCAATGCATGCCATGGGCAAATTAGGGCAATGCAACCAGTGTACTAAGGGTTTTGTATAATTCACGCAGACCTGGTCAATTCCTATGGGTTTGAGCTGAAATTAGTCAAATTTCTCTGTCTGGGAATATACATAAAACACTCTAAAAAGAATTCCTACTTTGCACTTGAGCATTGTTTTTCAAATTACTAAATTCTTTCAATGATATCTACATGTACATGTATGTATTTCCAGAAAAAAAATGTGAGAGTTATACAGTTGTAGCTGGAAATTATTGATACTACCTATGTTAGTAGAAATACAATTTCTAGCTAAATATCATTTGCTTGTATATATTTACAAAATATGGTTATTTCCCATGAATGTCATGATTATTTTGTATAAAAAAATGAAGTTTTGATCAAAATAAATCTTTCTTTTGAACTGAACCTGAATTCCATTTCTTCTCTTTAACTCATTTGTTGTTTTCTGTAATATTATTATCTTCTTTTTTTTTACACACCTGTACAGTTATTCATCTTACATTCGTTGATGACATATACAAGACAAATACATTTCTCTAATATATTTTGCAAATATTTAAAGATAAAGCTCAGTTCTGGTCATGCGATTGCATTGTGAAAGAAAAGGTGTGGGATAGATCAGAAACAGTTGATCATGTAGCATGTAAGTATTGGTGTGCACTGCAAGGTTCTGGATTCATCAAAATCACAATAAACTTGGCCCAGTCTTGGTAAAGTAACAAGCACTGTAAACAGAAAGATGGGACTACACAAATGGTGTCGGGGCTACTAACCTTGATTTCCTAATCTATCTATGCTCATTACTCAGCCAGTATACATTTTCTACCAAAATTGTTTGGCAAATGACATTTATTGTAATCTTGAACATTCAGTGTAAGTTTTGTTGATTCTGTGAGAATTCATTTTTTTTTTTTACCAGAACTCGCCTTTATCTTTAATAGAATTTAAAAATAGAAGTATAGATAAAAGGTAATCTGGTTTGAAATATAGCGGTGAATAGAGACATACTAAAGCTTTTCCTCATGCACTCATCAGAGTAAATTGCAAGAATTAACAAAAAGCTGAAATGGGACAATATACTGTACATGTAAATGGAAGCTAATGGAACGCTTTGTTTCTTTAGGTTGCATTTTTAAACTGATTACTCACATAAGCTGGAATGATAAGTTTTGAAGTCCAAGAGATTTTTGCAGAATAATCTTTGTTTTAAGACGGTGAACTGTACCCGTTGGCTACATGTATTTTGACTTTGACAGCCAGAAGTGCTTTAACTCCTATACTTTTATGCAGACTAAATGCCCTTCTGGGTCTCAATAAAAATCAATATGTTTTTTTCAATGACCTTGCGTGTCATTGTCAGGGAATATCACATGAATTTAAAAGTGAAGGTGTGCAAATTCTACAATGTTGGCATTGCCATTCTATTAAATCGCAAAGAATTGTAACATTTTCAAAAAGCTATCATTTACAATTCAGAGCCTGGTGAATCGATGGTATGGCATCGCGGACAGGAAAACATCTTCTTACATAAAAGAGAGCCTTAATTCAGAGACAAAAGAATTAGTCACTTTAGATCTCTACCATTCAAAAGTTTCTGTAATCTTCCTTTCAAAACTTTCTTTTACCTTGTCGACTATTGATTGGGCATTGACTATTGGGTAAGATCTATTCATGTGTCTGAAGGTGATACACATGAGTGATGACATCTCTATTATGAATGAGGGAAGGGATTAGCCTAGGGTTCAGGTCAGTTTGCTGGCACAAACTCTTGGCAGTAGTAGTTTGGATCATTGTGTCTGAACTAAGACTACCGTATGCTGACTGCACAGTGCGCGGTGCACTTTATAGGCTCTGTACTAAACACACCATGTTGTTATTTTAGTTATAACAAGTATCATTCAATAGTGAGAAAAAAACTGAATATTTCCCCCAAAATCTATTCACATTAAAAAAAAAAAAATGTTCTATACTCCATTATTTGACAAGGGTTTGTGCCTGCAACATATTAAAGGGATCGTTTAACAATGTTAAATCTGAGATGCATGGCCCGACGTGTTATCAGTGTCTGTGATATGGTGTAGTATTGAGGCCCTAACAAAATTGTGCTTCAAGATGATCATGAAGTGCCTCTAAAATTTAAAATCTTTGAGTGACCGGTTTTACAATACTCATTTTTCCCAATAGACTGTAATGTTATAAAAACCGTTAGGAAACCGAATTCTGGAATTTCTAATTTCAATCATAGATATCTTGATCAGACAGGCGATTGGCTTGTAAAAGTCATGGGATTCATGTATGACCTAAAGGTTTATAATTATGATTGCAACATGAGCCAAATCCAGGATTTTTTTTTTAGAATCTGAGGCAAAGTTACCCAATCCCTTTAAAAGCCTATAGGGGCTTGACGGGTTGATGGTCCCAATAATTTACAAGTATGAAGTTATAACATTGATATTGCAGCAGAGAGGGAAAAAAAAGATAATACAAAGCTGTTTTATTAGGCTATTGAATTGAAAATTAAATTAAAAACAACTGATAAATGATAAATTTAAGCTTTGTTTTGAATGAATTTAGAAACAAAATTTATCTTAACGAGGGGGATAAGGAATTCCATACAACACATTCAAAATGGCAAATTGTTTTTTTTAGATGACTGATTGTTAATTTCTATTCATGAAATTTGATTATATGCTACAATATTATGATTATGAACTTGGTGGTTTTAAAAAAACATGTTCATAATTTATAATCATTTCAACAAAAAATATTTAATGAATTTGATTTTAATTTGACAGAAAGTCAATGAATATTTTTTCATTACAATTATATATACAAAACAAATTGATGGATCCATTTATGTTTCCAGGGACAACTATGAGGCAATAGTAAAAACTTTGAATGAAATATAAAATAGTTCCCAGTGACCATGAGCTAGACTACACACAAGAGAGGACATGAAATTGATAGACTAAACCACTTTGTATATTTTTGTTGTATTGTTTCATTTAATTTCTTTGACACTGTTTTAAGCATAGCATGTTTCCCCCCCTTGCTTTCCAATGAAAATTCCCAATTTTTTTGAATAGGATTTATATCATTTTTGGTCTGTCTTGCTGTAGCTTCTTGAAATGAAAAAAAAATCTCTCTTTTTATAACGGGGTAGTCAAGAAACAAACAAAAATTTACAGATCATGAATGTTTGTTTTAAATCTTTTTTTCCTTCACCCTTCTCTTTATTGCCTATCTGTCTCTCTACCTGTCTATAATGTGCTTTTCTTGGAACTCTTTATCTCTGTTTGTTTCTTTGTCCCCCTTCTCTCTCTCTCTCTTTCTCTCTTGCTCAGTTGCTCTCTTTGAATATATGTCTGTATCTTTCTTTTTTCTCATTCAAACTCTCTTTCTCTGTCTCCTACATTTAATAGTATGTAAATTCAGGTCGATATTTGGAATAGACAAGATCTTAAATTTCTCTTCTCTATTGCTCATTGCATAATATTCCATTCTTTCTTCATTTAGTATCCCTCATAGTATCCTTCCCATCCAGCCAATCCTGTTTATGTGTGCACTGGTATACTGCATGCACATGAATGTTAAGTGCATGTTGTGATGCATCTTTGAGAACGTTGTAGAAGCTCTCACATAATGTAAGAAACGAGCATCATTGGAATTGTAATCATGGGGGAACAAAAAGGGACTCAACTTTTGAAAAGATTGCTGTACACGCCATTACTCTGTACATGTACATGTATAATGTAGCTACTACAAAATGCAATGTTTAACAAATGTGGAATAATTGAATTCTAGTCTTATTTCATTTACTATCCAAACAAAAAGGGGAGAAAGTAGGACTACTTGATTTTCTGTACACACCAAATTCTGCTTTGCTGTAATGTAGGTCGAATTACAATGTATTTACTACAGAACGTAAGCTTTTACAATTTTGGCAGGTTGAATTCTATTGTTACAGTAAAGTAAGCCTATAAGGCAACAACAAAAAAGAGCCTTGTTTCAATAAATATCCAGACAAAAAGGGGACTCGACTTTTGAACAGAATTCTGTACACACACTTCATAGCTACATGTATGTAGATTTTATACTAGTTACAAAATGCTATCTTTTATAATTTTAGAATGTCTGAATTCTATGTTTCTGTAAAGTGAGCCTAAAAGGCAATAAAAAAGAGAGTCTTGTTTCAATAAATATCCAGACAAGAAGGGGAAAAGGGGGACTTAACTTTTGAACTGAATTCTGTACACACTTATAGATTTATTCTACGAAATGCAATCTTGTATGATTTTGGCATGATGAATTCTATTGTTGTGGTCTCATGTACCATATAAAAGTCGTATTTCTATAGATAAGCAAACAAAAAGGGGAGAAAATGGACTCCACTTATTGACTGATTTATGTACACACCCATCTACTATGCAGTTCCACATACACCTGTAGGTTAATTTTGCATTATGTTTTACTGTAGAAATCAACCTTGCACAATTTTTTGCATGATCAGATTCTATTGTTGTAATAAAAGTTAGCTGACAATGCAACAAATAAGTCATATTTTAATTTTAAAAAGCCTGACAAATAAGCTAGACCTTGTACAGATTTGTTTTTATTGACTTTATAGTTTGCTGTGTACTTGTACTATTACAAAGAAAGACTTCTCAAGCATTAGATTGTACTAGCTCTAGGCCATTATTTGCTTTTCTACTGTCTATGGGGTTTTTTTTCTTTATAATTATACAGTGCATCCCAGAAAAAACGAAATTGAGAATTATTGATGTTTTATCATAACTTAATCACAATTATAATGATTAAATGACACATATTTGTAAAGCCTGACATGACCTGACAACAGAGAGAGAGAGAGAGAGAGAGAGAAGGGGAGAGAGAGAAAACGAGTATGGTAAAACC